GGGGAAATGCCATGAGATCAGCCGCCATTGCGAAACAGACATGCGTGCCGGTGTGCATGCCGTGCCATAAGGGGCACCCAACGATGAAAGTGAGGGTGACATCTCCACCGCTGCTCACCACTTCAGCCAGCCATTTGTGCTGCTCTCATCCTTGCGCAGAACGATGGCGACATACGCGGCGCCGCCAAGGCTCACGAACACAACCCCTGGAGATGTGACCAGTTTTGGAAGCAGGGCGGCACACATAAAGCACAGCCACCCAACAAAGCCATCGGCGCCGCCATCAGAGCATGGACGCTTGCTGTGGGACCACAAGTCAGGTGGAGAGAAGCTAAGCCAGGGACGGGGCGCTGTTTCTGGGCGTGTTGCAGTTGGGGGTTTTGTTTATAAAGCGTGCCTGCAATCACGTAAAAAACAGTGACGTAGGCGTTGTAGCCCTTCGGGAGCACGAGGAAGCGGATGAGCACCCAGTACATGGCTTTGAAAGCCCAGAGTTCCTTGTGGATGACCCAGCTGAAGGGGTGAGTGCAATAGAGATTCGTGCATGAGCTGGGCGCAAGGTGTCATGATTAGAGAATTTGAGGGGCTGTGATGTGAAGCACGCACACTCGAGTGAGGAGTGGGCAGCATCAGAGAGTATAGTGAGGGTTCAAAACTGTCTTGGAGGGACCAGCTTGGGTTGGTCGCAACGAGGGCCGCGCTACTCGAGTGTCATGCGACTGAAGACATCAAGAGGGCAAGGGCGCGCAGGCGCAGTCGCCCGCACCCAAACGAGGTGTTGAAGACGACTCGGAACATCTGCGGCGACAGCATTGGGGGTTGTGCAGAGTCGATGCCACGCCCTGTGCGCGCCACAGGCCATGGCTCACACAGGAGCCACGCCTTGTGTGAATTGCCAGCAGCTCGCGTGCCGCCCCAAACAGCCCCAACAGCCCCAGCCGACAGTCGACTTGCGGCTGATCGACAAACCAATCACTCTGGCAGTGCAAGATGTGCACCTGCAGGAACTCAAGGACGATGCGCAGGATGATCCAGCTGTCTTGCTTGGCCGTGAGCACAATCAGGGTGGAGAATATCTAGTGGTGCAGCAGGGGGGTCGGCGCGAGCCAAGGGACTGGGCGACTTGTCTGCTGTGGCAGTGCTATCAGAAACAGGCCGCCGTTTTCAGCGGTGCAGGGTGGGACGGCTGCGGTGATGTGGCCGTGATGAGTCCTCATTCCGCATCGTGCTCACCCCTTCCTGGATGCCCTTGCCAGAGTCGATGAGGTCATCCGCAGAGTCATCCATGCCACTGCATTCAAGGCAAGAGGTGGCCGGGACGGCCTCAGCTTGGTGCGGAGCACTTGCATGCGAATGCCGCGGCTGCGGCTGGCAACCACCGCGGATGACGACGCTTGATTGGAAGGTAGGCCCGCGCACCCGCGCTCCTCCAAAGCGGCGAGGGCGGCGGCATTGTCGGTGTCGCCAGCCGCGCTCGAGCCGCCTCCTGTGGAGTAGCTGGCGCCAGAGGCGGACCCCACGTCGCTCATGCTGCGTTCCGGTCAGAAGGTGTGTCGCCGACGTTGTGCCGCGCGGCGTGCTGCGCCCACAGCTCTAATGCTACGTTTTATGAGGTAAGCTATCGTGCCGTCATCCAGTGGCCACAGATGCCCGGCGGCCTGAGCGCGAAGCAGGAGTTGCTCTGATCATATTGAAGGTTGCTATGTTCTTTGCGCTGGCATTAGTTCTAGATGAAAATTATACATAAGTCATTCCGTGGTGCGGTAAACTTCAGGTCTGCGAGACCCACTGTGTCAGATCATTCGTTGCCAACAAATACCAACATGGTATGGGTTGTGTGTGTAGCCGTGTGGAGTCAAAAACGTACATCACACAGTTTCAAGTGGAGTCGATGTTGCAGCTGACGGCACACCACCACTTGTGCACAGCCGTTGACCAAGCTGCATCGCAGGCGTCATCGCAGTACGTTGACTGATCGACCGAGGCCTTGGGGGGGCCGACAGTCAGAGCCGGCGGCGGGGCGTGCGGGGGGGCCACGTGGCTGTAGTCATTTGATGACAGCAGGAACGTATATGACATGTACACACCAAGATTTCGTCAAAACTTACATTTTCCTTTGCAGGATGTGCAGGTACTAATAATGGAGGTCAAAGCACACGGCTCGGGCGCAATGCGCAACAGCTCATGCTGACCCCTATCAAATGATCTCATCGCCCACAAAGGCCTTCAACAACAGGGAGGAAAGTAATATGGCTTGATGGTGCAGGGTGGGCCACTCCCACAAAGACCAGGCAGCAGCGCCGTTGCTGGAGTGCTCGTGCGCTGGTGGATGCGAAACCTCAAGGAGCGGTATAAGTAGCAAGGCATGCCCACAGAGGAGCTAACTACGCGTTCCTCATCGCCATCAGCAGCAACATTGCAAGCCTCAAGCCTCATCCTTTGCGCGGGCGAATGTTGCGGGCACTACCCTGCCGAGCGGCAAAGTAGCAGCGCCCTGGTTGCTTGAGCGTGGTCCCAAGCATGTGCTTCTCACGCACGCGTGTAAATGCCCACGACGGCTTCATGTACCTGATTCACAGTGTTGTGCACCCCTGCAGCACTGACGATAAGGTCGTGGCATGCACAGTACTCGAAGTACGCCGCACTGCTTGGATGCGCCTCCGTGCCGTACCTTGAGCAAAACATCGTTTCGAACATAGTGTTTCGGCAAGAATAGCTTGTAAGGGACCCGAAGATTTGTAGCATAATTTTGAATCGCCGCGCCAAGATCCATGCCTCCCCCGAAGGGGCCCACCGCGTACTTCCTTTTCACAGAGGAGCATCGAGCCGCGATACAGAAAGAATTGAACGAAGCAGCAGCGGTAGCAGTAGCAGCAGCGGCGGCGGCAGCGGCGGCGGTGACGACGACAGCCACAGTGGGCGCACCTCCATCGCCTGGGCAGCAGGATGGCGCGGCCAGCAGCAGTGGCGCACCGGCGAAGCCAAAGGCTGTCTCTGTAGCTGTGGTTGCCAAGGAGCTAGGTGCGCGCTGGCGGGCCCTGCCAGAGGACGAGAAGGCGCGCTACAAGGAGCTCGCGCAGCAGCGCGCCAGCGAGGCAGCCGCAGTCGCAGCGGATGTGGGCGGTGCGCCAGGCGATGAATGCCGCGAGGACGCTGTGCACGGCGGCGCCGCTGCAGACCAGGAGGCTGGTGAAGCCGACGAGCAGCCGCGGCAGCCAAGCTTCCCGCTCGGCGTCGTGAAGCGCATCATGGCCGTGGATCCCGACTTCAAGCGTGCCACCGCCGATGCGGTATGGCTCATCAGCGCGGCGGCCGAGGCGCTGCTGGGGCTGGTGGCGGAGCGCGCTGGCAAGCAGGCGCTGGCCAAGAAGCGGAAGACTGTGAAGCTGGAGGACCTGCAGCACGTCATCAAGTGAGCACCTGGTTGCTGGAGCAGCTGCCGCAACATGGGGTCGCCCGCCTGCCAGGGGGTGTGATGCCTGCCAGGGGGTGCACACGTGCCTGCCGCGCGGCACCGGCACCACCAGCTTGCTGTGTGTAAAGGCCACTTTGCTTTGCCCGCTGCTCCACCACTGTCAATGTGTCTTTGCTGGTGTTGCCCACCGCCCGTCGTCACTGCATCGCATGACATGGCAACTCCCTGAGATCCCCAACGGCACAGCACAGCCGCTGCGGACCCATGTCCCATTCCAGAACTATAATCCTTCCCCGTTCCCCTCCAAGCGTGCTACCCCACCCGGCCCTTGCTCTAATACCCCCAGGTATGACAGACGGCTGGTGGTGGCTGGCCTCAGGGAGGTGGCGGAGGACACGGCCATGTTCGAGGCTGCCGCTGCCACAGCTGCAGCCAAGGCCGCGGCAAAGCCCAGCAAGCCCAAGGCTGGCGCCGATGAGCAGGGACAGCTGGATGCCAGCGGGGGAGAGGGGGACGCTGGTGGCGGCAAGAAGACTAGGCAGCAGCAGTCGGGGGCAGGGCGCGGCAAGGGCAGGCGGGGCCACGAGGAGGACAGGGCACAGCGCAAGCTCTCAGCATTCTTTACAGTGAAGTGTTGACGGGCTGTGGATGGCGCTTTTCCTGCCAGCGGCTGTTTGGCGGGGGACAGCTGCTTGCAACAGGCGCACGTCCTGAGATACTGTGCTGGTAATTACCCTGGTGCAGTGTAATAGGTCAAATGCAGGCGTCGCAATCCCCTGAAGGCGGGACGCGCTCTGCATCGCGGGGCACAGCACGCAGACAAGAGCGTGCCGAGGTGCGGCGCAGGGGCACGCTCGGACATGCCTTAGCAAGCCACCCCGGTGTTGTGCACGCTCACCGCGGGAGGACTCGCGGCCCCACATCAAGCAGCCTGCGCCAGAAATCGCAACGCCACCGAAAATGCAGGCTTGCAGCCAGGGTCCAGGTTGAGCACCAAAGATTCGTTTGGGAGGACACCCCTCCCTTCCAGCGAGCCGATCCTTGCAAAAAAAACACCACGTGAACAATCCGCCCAAGGCACAGCCCTTCTGAGGGCACGCGCGGGCGCTGCTGCAGCGCTGTGGGCCATGGACGACGACGACGACGTCTTAACAGGTTAATGTGCCGGGCCAGGGCACCGGGCCTTTGAGTTGGGGGCAAGCAGGGTAGGGCCGGGCGACGCCTAGTCGTCGAAGGTCTGCTTCTTGCCAGTGCCCGCCCCTGCGTCGATC